CTGGAGAGACGTGTAAGAGATCACGAATCTTTAGCCCGTGCTCCCGCCGACACTCGTGAATCACGAACACGTATGAAGGATTTGACCAGATCTGACGAGACCTCAGAGTGGATTTGCACATGTAAAGCCAAGCTAAAGATTTCAGACTACATAACAAGTATTCGACAAGCAGGGTTCGACTCTTTCCAGTGATGCTCATCGCAGTCTAGCTGGGGATGGATCTTGCTTTCGTTGACTACGACCGCAAAGTCGATGGGTTTTTGAGGCGCAGAGAAGGAGGGAAGGACGACCATTGGATGATGCCAAACTCCGGGGGCATAAGTGATACCTGTCGATCCGAATACCAAGTAAGCCTTGAGTGTAGAGAGGTCCGGCGTATCGTCTGCTCGAGCACAAAGTCGGGACAAAGTTCACCCTCAGCTTGACACGCTCATCACACGCAGCGCAGTGCAGGGCATCATCACAAGCTTTGCTCACCTTTTCCGTTCAAAGCGACAATGACCAGGTACGCCTGATCTTCTCCAGTGCCAAGAGGTAAAAAAGCCTGCGTAGTGTACCTATGTCTCTCTAGCAGCTTCACATCAAAGAATTGGCCAGAGCTACTCTCGAGCGCTGGATGAGGGTAGCATCGGTACGTATGAATCGCAGTCTCAGCTTTCGATTCTTGAGGATAAGTGGAGACCACCAAAGATTGATCGACGTACTTTTCAGCTGTGCCTTGATTCACCTGCTTGAAAGCTGTGCCTGCTGTGGAGCCTAGCATGTGAGAGGATGATGTCTGTGAAGGATGTTCCACGACCGATCCGTACGCTGCATAGTTCTCAGTAGTCAATGCCTCGACCGGAATCTGAAGAGGGGTGTTGGAGGAGCTTGCAGCATGGAGCGGTGCAGGAGCAGCGGGCAGCTCTTTCTCACGACCGCTCGTCTCGGACTCGATGGGCAAGGCGATCTCAGGCAAGACCTTGTCTTCTGGCCAATCCGCCAAGTGCTTTGCTCTTCGGCCAATCAGTCGAATCCGTTTGATCCCGCCATCCGGAAACATGGCTACACGTACGTGTGTGTATGCTTTAGCCTTTGCAGCGATCGAGTCAGCAGAGGACTTGATGGGGAAGAAGTGCTTCTTGTGAGGGCCCGTCTTGGACCTCGGCACTAGCTCGTCCCAGTCGCCTTGCTCGAAAGCTGTTGGGAGTTGGGCGCCAGGTGCGAGTGCCAATCCATGCAGCGCAACAGATTCGGGAAAGTTGCCGAGAAAGTGAAGAGTGTCGATTTCGGCGTATGACAAGTATGCAGATTCCGCCCTTGGAAAGAGCCCCACGGCGTGTAAATTTGTATACGGAGGGAAGTCACACAGAAAGCGAGACACTTACAGTTGAATGATCAACCAATCTTTGTGTTCTGGTGTGCGGGAGCGCTTGGTCTCCCATCCATCGCCCATGTCCTTTCCTCGACCGGGGAGCAAGACATTAGGCCCAATGCCGAAGTGTTGATCGCTCGTACTGAAAAAAGATAAAATGGTACAGTTCAGCAACTGATCTTCGTCGTACTGCGAGGATGTTTTACGCACAAGACGACTCTGCCGCCGTTGAGCACGTGGGCCAAATCGAGCGAGCTCAGGTTCAGAGCCTCAACCGACGGCTCAGCATGAGTAGGGGTCTGCTCCTCAAAGCCTTGGCCAAGTGGTGGCGCAGTGATTGTACCATACACACGAAATCGAGCAATACCTCCGTCTGGAATCATTCGCAGCTTGATGTGCGTAAAGACCTGCTCCGTAGGCTTTTCGTCCGGTGTGATCCAGAGATGACGCGCTGATGGACCGCAAGGAACTCGATGAAGCAATGAAACCCACTGAAGGATGCGAACACGATTGTCAGTAAGACTGGGCTCGTGTCAAACAGGATTCGACACAATGCAAGCTTACTCTGCTGTCGGATTCCTCGACAGGCTGATTCTCATCGAGGTGCAATGCCCACACTTCGACTTCGGGCGCCTCATTACCATTGAACCAAGCCGTGTCGACATCTACTCCGAGTATCTGAGCACCGGCTGCTGGGCCTAGACGCAGAATGACCCAGTCGAATGTAGGATTGTGTCTTCGAGTTTCCCAGCCCGAAAAGAGAGCTCCCTTGGGTCCGAATTGTCCCTTGAGGCTCGGGGCAGCCTCCACCTGATCACGACGTGAACGGTCAGCGCTTGCGCTTGCTGGGCGCATCCAACGCGCGAGTCGACTTCGAGACGATGCTCTTCTGTCTGTCACTCACTTTGAGCAGATCGGATGCGGGAGCAAACCATTCGTCGCTGAAGGATAGGATCTTGCCTCCCAGCGCAACCGACGATACTTCGGTAGAAGTGGACCCAAGCTTTCGAGCGAATTGGTCCAGCGCAATGTTCTTCCAAGTGCTGCTTGTCATCTTGTCTGTGAGGGAAGGGTGGCGCAGGAGTATCTTGTTCAAAGATGCTTGCAATCTTGGACGCTGAGATGAGGCGATGTCTTTGTGAGGGGGCGCCAATACGCGCGACCGCGCTGCTCTGCTTTTATGCTTTCTTTCCCAGCAGGACAAGCTCGCACCAAGGACGTTGCGTCCCCCGTCGTCACGTCAGTGTCAGATGCTTGTGCAGGAAAATTGCAACAGAGAGCATCCTTACGGAGGTGTTGCTCTGACGTGAAGCCCAGTGGCCCGCCGGTGCTCGTACGGATAGCTTCACCTCAGAGGAAGAGCAAGCACATGAATCTACACGACTCAAAAGGTTAATCCGTGATTATAAGTCGGTGCTAGCTTTCTTCCAGCTGCAGCAGCAGCAGCAGCAGCTCCAGCAGCTCGATCTCTGTTGGGCAAGAGCGGCGGAAGAGAAGCTAGGCGAACGCATGCCGCGCGTGCGGCAAGTGCGGTGCTACCGTGCTACACGTACGTACGTGCATCTTGCAGCTCGCATGGAATCGAGTCAAAGTTTTGAGTTGAGTCATCATGTGTGCAAGTTTGATGCACTCGGTTCAAGACTCGTGACTCACCAGCAGACTTGCTGGGCAACAGAAGTCGCGACTCGCGACTTGAAAGAGAGACGTGAAGCGCGGGAGACGCGTCAGATCGGTGTCGCGCTTCCAACCTTTGCTGAGTGGCTTGCGCGATGGAACGAATTGTGAATGTCACTCGTGTGAAGGCCTATAAGCTGGCAACTAGGCGTCAGACCGCAAGTCACAACACAACCCATCTTATCATCCGTCCCGGAATCCTTCTTGTCCTCCTCGACCGAACATCTCCGTGAAAGTCACAACATTTCCAGAACCTTCGTCGGGGGCTTTCTTCGCTGGCCGCAAGCGAATTTGTCCCTGGAACTCGATGTGTGAACGTCAGGTGCGCACGCTCCATCCGAGACGCCCCAGACATCCATCAATACAGCATTCTCCGATTGGATCGGGCAATTCACAGCACCGTTGGAAAGCGCTTCATGAAACCACGTGATAGAAGAGACCGCACACTCGCGTGAAGCAGGGGTGTCCATTCAGCAACGTTTGGTCTCCTCCTTCGTCCACATTGGCCCCCATACAGTTTGACTAGGTGACACTTCGAACAGAGCAAGACGATATCTAGAGACCGGATTGCATGTGCAATGATGAGCGTCTCGTCGAGAAACGAAGGGGATCTCTCTTGCAAGGTTGCGAAGCGGCACAATGCCGAACACGACAGCCTAGACGTCACACCACCGTGTGTTCTCGTTGTCAATCCCAACAGTTCGCTAGAAATGACTTTGGGAATGCGCGACAGGCTCTGCTCTCTTCATCGTTCCGGCAGAATCTCGAGAGAAATCCAGCTGGCTTACGTGACTGCGGACAAAGAAGCTGGTGTACCTCCGTCGATCGATGATTTCGTGGATGAAATCACAAGTGCTCATTTGGTGCATCGACAGATCGCTCACGGAAATTTCAAGGCTTTACGAGAAGGATGCGTGGTAGAGGTGGGACAGGGTGCATCCGACAAGTCTGTTCTGCAATTTCGGGAGCACAGCCTCGCACTTCATGGCGATCCCAAGCAAGGGCCTGAACAGAGGGTTCGTCTCCGCATGAAGAATCCGAACATCGATCGCAGTCAAGCCGTGCTAGTCGCTTGTTTCTCCAATCATCCCCTCGCTCAAATGTTGCGCGTCTCTCATCCACATCTCAAAGTCCTCCACATACTAGAAGCAGCAGTCCTCTCTGCTCTCTCATCAGGTGGAAAATTTGGCATTCTCACAACTGTGCAAAGCATGGTGGATGATATCGACGAAGGTGTATGCGCCGTCATCGGACACGGACACACCAGATTTGTTGGGACTGTAGCAGCGGGCGTCAATGCGGCTGGGTTGGATAAGAGGAAGACAGAAGTAGATCGATTAGTCTCTGAAGCTGCAGGACTGCTGGCTTCAAAAGGCGCGAAGGCTATCATACTGGGATGTGCCGGTGAGCGCCTTGGTTAGGCTCAGAAAACCGCAGGCGACTGAATGCCTTGACTGACGTGAACTCCTCATGACGGCCCCCTCTTCAAAGCCATGGGCGACAGAGCTTCCTTGATTCGCCAAGCATGCCGCAAGGAGAACGTGACGGTGACGATCGTCGACGGCACAATTGCAGGCGTCCATCTTCTCACGAATCTCCTACACTCCGAATAGAGGATGCTGCTACACACCATCTCGTGGCGGGCAAAAATGAATGAGGGACACAGTCACAGACAACGCGCGTTTGTTCAGGCGTCTGACGTTGGCAAAGAAGGTGGCGGATGGTTTGTTCGCCAGTGAGAGGCAATGTCTTTTCGCGTGGTGATCCAGACCCTTTCCTTGTTCTTGACATACTCGATGAATCTGAGCAGTCCAGCAAACCTTCCAGGTCTTCCAATGCCCCTGCAATGTAGTCCTACCGTCATCATTCTCGGGCTTCCACTCTTGCCTTCTTCGTAGAGAACGTCGAATGCATCTCTGAGGTAGGTGAAGAATTGCTCGGACGTCGTGAAGCCTGGTGTCTGGGCGAATTTCATATCGTTCGTGTCGAGTGTGTACGGCAAGACGAGTAATGGAGCATCTGACTCTTGCGCACTCGCACTTGTCGCCATCGCTGGACTAGGACAAGGGACCCAATAAGGTAGATCCTCATCATATGCGTCATTGTCGTAAAGTTGATCCGCAAGTCCCCTTTCACGATACGTCTCGTAGACTATCCTTCGCGTCTGCAGAGATTGACGACCCGTATACCATCCCAAGGGCGGTGTGGAGCTTTTGGAAGCTTTGCTGATCACATCTATAGTTTTGTGCACGTGAGATCTCTCCTCTGCCTCAGGCACATCATTGTAATCTATCCATCTGTACGAATGACTTGCGACTTCGCATCCCGCGCTCTGCATAGCATCAACGACTTGAGGATTCAACTCCACAGCTCTTCCGATGGCCCAGCATGTGAAGCTCAAGCCTTGCTTTTCGAACAGATCCAATATCCTCCAGAAACCTCTGTGCGATCCGTACTCGTAAGCGCTCTCCACGCCGAGTGTTCTTGAGGGCCGAGCAGTGCCCGTTGCTCCATTCTCCGTCAGAAAAGCCTCCGAATGGGTATCACCGTTCAGCAATGTGTGTTCGCCGCCTTCCTCGTAATTGACGACGAAGGAG